CGGTGTTGTCGCTTGCAGATTTACCTATACTTTTTCTTCAACCCTGAAGATGGAGGCGATACGTTCCTCCGAAACGTCGGTTAACACCACATATACACGGCGCCAAAGCCCAGAAGACTGCTTTCTTCAATACAGAAAACGGCCACGTAATAAGCACCCTTGTTGCCTGGCGCTGTGTTGCTAGCAACGCTAGCGGTAGTAACTGCTGTTACTACCGTCGTCTCTCGCAGTCCTGTTTACCTGCGCTGCCTAGCAACCCGCGGTACCCTTGGTGACGTCATTGCTGTTGACTCGCGTTGCATAGCGACCAGGATGCTAGGACTCGGCTAACTTCGGCTCACTTCGGCTTCGCTCGGCGCATCACGGCTGGTGAGGGGGGGCGTCATCCATAGCTCAACATGTCACAATATATTGTTATAGAGTGACATTATTAGCCTCTTGCCCAGTACCCAACCTAGAGGACCTGGGGCTGTGTGACATGGGTGACTACCAGGAGCTTACATCCCCATTAGCATAGATCTCCATGTTATCAGGACACACAAACCACCCCCACCACTTTCAAATAGTAACCCAGAGGGAGGAATGAATGAATCAGTGAATCAATAAATGAGGGGTGAGCCTTGAGCAGTCTGCACGATGACTGTCAGTTGATCTGTTGTGCATCCTCCACTGTTCAGCCCCTCAACAATCCTACAGTTCATGTCAGGGGGAGGAAAGTGTTAATAGTGTTCTTCTAAATGATGGATTGAGCTTTTTGTGTGGTGTGAAATTTACTGTTATGGGAAATACCAGTATGCCTAAGTATTAATACTCTCACTCTATGCTGTAATGACATGTTGTTCTTGAGTAACACAACCCGTGTCATTTGATCTTCAAAACAAAATTTAGTGTGTTATTTATATTTAAAGAGTGATCTTTGAACTCATTGAGTCTAGTGAGAACTGAAACTTGCTCAGTGATCACTGAGTAGAGTCTGCTTTTCCAAGAACTTTTGGCTAATGTATGAGTATATTCTGAAACATATTCCTGTTGCCTGTTTGATAACTTTCACAGTGTGTTTAATGTGCTTAGACTTCCAGTACTTTTCTCTTGCTACACAGAAATTAAATCAGTCCATTTAGCCACTTTTGTAATTTGTCTTTACTTAAACAATTACTTCAGTACATACAGTATTTTATTTTATATTTTAGCATCCCGTTGCATTGAGGCATCCTTATTATTAAAGTACCTAGAAGTCTAAAAACTCTTCCCTTCCTCCTACATAATTTAATACTAATTCTCTCAGATTTATCTCCAATATATCAGACTTTTACTTTATTTTATATATCATTACTAATGCAACAGTTGTTGGAATCAATTAAATGTATAGCTCAGCTTGAAAACAGCCAAGAAATATGCATATACTGAAGACTTCACTTTCAGCGACTGACTTGCTTTTTCTCTCCGTTCAAATACATTGCCATAATACTTGCTATTACAGAGAGTTCAGGTGAGAGGAAAATGTAGGCACACCTTGAATAGCATGGATGTTTTGACTGTGAGTCATTCATGCAGCAAAATATTTTGTGACCAGTGTGATAATGATTAAAGATTTTTCTTGCTTAGATCCTTTTCTCTTAAGGTCATAAGAAAGAAAATTTACAAGTAGTGCACCCAGTGGTTCACTTCTATGTACCTATAAGCACAAGCTCCCACAAAGTCATTGGAATTGAAGCTATGAAAAATGTGGCAGACTGCAGTTCAGTATGCGACAGGAGACAATCCAAGAGAAATCTACTACCGGAAGAAATTTTCAGGACCTTCATTCATGGTTAGAGATCAGTCCTTAAAATTGTACAGATACTTTACACAAGAAACCAATGTTTTAGTGCGATGTAGAAGTCTAATCAAACGTTAGTCGTGTAAAGGTTGTGCATGAGCTTAAAAAGCCAGATTATACAGCAAGAATTCACTGTTGGAACTGGTTTCAGGAAAACGTGCATGCTCAAGAGGCCTGGTTTTACTGTAATGGTCTTGTCAGTATGCAAAATGAATGGAAATGGAGTGTTTTAAGTGTACAGTGAATCATAGTCCCATTTTTTTGACCAGGCCTATAATATAGATTGGTATGTGAGCAATATATTGAATCCCTTCTTTTGCCAACTGACATATTTACAGCAAGATAACCCTTACACTTCAGAAGCTGTCCATAACAAAATAACACATGTAATTGCTTGATTTTTTGTGGGTGAGCTTGATAAAGTGTAAAAAAAAATATGTGCCTCAAGGCATGCTTGAAGGTAGTAGGTTTTTAAATGTATTAAATTTGTGTTGCCTCTTTACAGTGATCAGTTTGAAATTCTGTGTAAGTGGAGACTGATATGAAAGTGCTGCCTATACAGTTGTGCCATAAAGTAATGCTATGCTCTTGCAGTCTGCATATTCTGTCAATCTTGAACCTTTGTTTTAACTAATGAGCAATCTTTCATATATTAACATTGTAATTGTTGTTGTTTTCCAGATCCCATGTCCATTTTGTGGTGATGAGTTGTCAGCCCCTGCCCCTGCCCCTGCTCACACCCCAACCTTAAGGACCAGCCATTGTTCGTTGTCTATGGCTGCTTGCTCTGTATTGTTTTGTTGAAAGAAAGACTTGGTTTTTGTTTTATAGGTTCGGTTTCTGCTGGATGCTAAATTGCCTGAAGGAAAAGAGAATGAAGCTGCTGCAGCCAGTGCAACTAAAATACGTCGTTCAGATGATGGACAACGACCCTTACCTACTCGTGCAGATAATATAACTATTGGAGAGACAGTTTCCAATGCAGGAAACTTGACCAACCATGCAAAAATAATTACCGAAGTGCTGAAGAAGTACCCTCACCTGGTGAAGAATAACAAAAATATCCGGCTGAAAATCATGCAGCGTGGTGGGGCCCAAGTCACCCCAGTGGTACCCATGGATGGAGATGCAAGCAAGGTATGATCATTATATCTCTTTATATAGTAACTCTGTAAGTTTGTTTGTTGACATTACATGAGGCTGCTGCTTCAAATATTCCTGTGCTGGGTGGTGGTATATGTGTGAGAAGAAATATAATTGACATGTTCTGTTACTTGGTAGAGTAGACTGAATGAATTTTGTGGCAGTTACATTGCAACAAAGTTTTGCTCAGAAACAAGGGTTATTTATACTACATGCAGACTGTGATTTGGAGTGAAAACTGTGCATATTCACCTTCCTTTATTATGTTTATCTCACTTTATATAATATACTGAGAATTAAAATGAAAGAGTATATCATTATATTATGTTTCAGCATCCTCTTGCATTGATGTATCACTCATTCACTCATTTCAGTCTCTAATGCAACACAGTCTCTCTGTTATTTTAAAATGTGATTTTAATGACATTTTAAATAAAGGAGGATTGTGTTGCATTAGAGACGGAAATGAGTGAACAAGAAAGTAACTTATACATATGTTTTCATCCAGAATTTTTTTGTCAGAAGTAGAGCTTAAATTGCAAGGATTTGGAAGCAATGTGCCAATGAAAATATTTAGACTCAGAGGAGGTAACTGAGGAATGGAGGATATCAGACAGTGAGAAACATAGTAACTCACATAATTTGTATATTGGTAGCTCGTTTAAATTCATTGTCTGCAATTTCACAGAACACAGTTCAGGATTCAGAGTATAGTAACATTTAAATCTCGATGAATGAGCACACATTCATAAATGCCACCTACACTACTCACATGTGAAGATGATCATGATGACCATGCATCTTCACATTGTAAATGCACATAAAACTCCATGATTATAGTCCACAAGCAAATCATACCAACCGAGCGACCGCTGCTTGTCAGTGAAGTTAGTGCCAACTTCAGCAGATAGAGGGTGTTGCATGGTCAGCGCAACAAATGCCCACGGCAGTTGATTTCGTTTTTCTAGACCGGAGCCAATATTTCCTTGAAATAACTCCTCTGTTATCATCACGAGGCTGAGTGCACCCCCTTCCAGACCCACTACTTCTCAGAAACAATCTGGTAGCTCCAGGAATCGAACCCAGACCTCTGGGTCTATAACCAGGAACACTGCCCACTAGACATATATATATATATAT